AAAGATATGCCAAAACCACTTTTTGTCACTTTTCACATTTTGATCTTCCCATAAGTAGTACAAAAGTACTGTTCCATGGTATATTTGTACAGTTCATTTGAGACAAAATGATACCGATGAATTGCAATCTAACACAAAAACAAATAGACATAAAAGAATCAAACCAACGCGGACTGCAATAAAAATAACAGAACAACTCTAGAAAATAATTGTATAATTTGTGTGACAAATATAAAAAAGTTGTAAATATAAATATTTTATATATTGGGGGTATATTCCCTCACTTTAACTTCATATTGATGCAATAAAAGACTTATTACTTACGACTTGCCTGAAATCGATAATTGAAACGCCTGAGGCGAATAGCTTCCAAACAGAAACACCTGCCAGATATGGAATGTAAACAATTGCTCTGTACATCAGTTTGCCGAACTGGTTTCAATCACAAGTTGTGAGTAGGATATTTGTATTTGTGCTCCAATGGACAAAACTCTCTGGGGTTCGCTTGAAATAATGTTCGGCTGGTGGAGGGCGCAAGGGTCGATTTAATGCAACGTTGTATTAATTCATTCAACTTTTAATTCAATATCGTAATCTAAATACGAAATTAAGTTTGGAAGAAATTATATGGTAGCTTCCCTGAGGGCTGTTTAGTATTACTGAGAGAAATGCATTATGTATTTTTAGAGAAATGGGGTGCGACATTGTGCCTTTAATGTGGACATCAAATTAAAGTCGGTGTATGAAGGATTAAATTTGTAGTCAAAAACAGGTTTTGAGTGTAAAATGGAATAAATTGAAACCAGTATTGTTTAAGATTTTTATACATTCATGTTTTAATAAAACATTTAGGGAAATGGTTTTATTGTTCATTTAAATTATGTTTGTTGTTTCAATAAAGATACAAAACTGTGATGTTAATGCCTCGCATAAAACAATTCTTGTTGTATTGTTGGTAATTTGAATGGAATATCACTGACCCAGTTTCATGAAACTGATATACAATTTCACTCAACCTCGAACATGTTTTTCCTGAGAATTCTCTCATGTCTCACTGTATCTGACTTTGATGACACTTTTCGTTTTTAATACTACATCAATTTGTGATCTCCTTAGCACTTGTTGTTTATAGGTTGACATGTCAGATAGGTACATGCTGTACAAATTTCTGGTTGTGAATATATGGATTTGTATGTAAACAACTAAAATATGCAAATATATACATGCCTGTTTCCTTTGTACATGTATGTTCTCCAATTATGCATTATATTGAAACTTATTCAAGAATAAAGTTATTGATTCTCATGTTAGCGTTTTTTTTGTCTCAGATAGTAATTCGGACCAGCTTGGGACCGACTAAAAAGTCCGAATTTTACAGTAGTCCGAAGTACACAGATTCTATCACATTTCACAATGTCTAAAAACATTATATTATCAGCAGAATTAAATTTATAAACTATTTTTCTCAATGTTATTGTAAACAACGATTCTCAGACACCTGCTTCGTCCACAATAACATTGTCAAAGAGCAAAGTAACGATGTTTCGAGGAATTCATTAAATAAATTGAATAAACTAATGAATAAAATCAACAACGACATTCATAAAAGTTGTCAAACGTACATATAAAATTACTATTTCCATATTTTTGTGCGATCATGTAATGTAAGTCAAGTCACTGGCAAGTGACATCTCGGCTCTTCGCCGCCTCAATCTTCACGCTCGGACACGATGTTTAATGCGAAAATATATACATGAAGCATTTTTGTCACAGGTCATAGCCTAGCACGATAAGTCGAATAAGTTCCATAATTTACGTATAGGTAGCGATTTCTTACTTAATATGTTCAGAATAGCATTATTTTACCCAAAACTTTTGTCTAAATCTAAAAGTTTTCGTTTCATTTCAGAATGACGGTATCCATTGCCGTAATATGAATGATCAAAGCTGCCTTAGGTCGAAATCCGAAATAATGAGAATCCGAGATACAGAACTTTTTTATTATGACAACAAAGAAGGATTACGTCGGGACCGTGAGTTCAGTCCTGTTTATACAGTAATCCGAGAAAGACAGAGTCCGAGTTTGACAGAGTGCACTGTACATGATGACAGCCATTCTCTTCCCACAGAGGTTACTCCTGTCATATCTTCCTACCTCTGTGGGAAGAGAATGGATGATAGCAGGGATTTCTTTGCTTCTAATCAGATGCCAATAGTTTGGCCCAAGGTTTCCAAGGAATTTTTCAATTCAAGTTCACTATTTGGGAGAATCGATGTTATTGACAAGATGATCTACGGAACAGGAGTGAATTTTATGAATGTTAAACACTTTATTCAAATACCTATAAATGTAAGAAAATGGAAACACTTTCTCCAAATCTTACTTTGAACGAAACAACACTCTCTTCTCAGTCTAAGTAAACTTAGGCTCAGTATTATTCGTTACACTGCTATACTGAGTCTAACAAAACCTAGCAGAGGGTCGAGTCAGCTAACCTTTGAGCGACCTATGACCGTCCAATCAAACGCGACGGCCGAGCGGATTTAACCAATCAGACAATGACTACTTGTTAGGGTTTGGCGGGACTTACAAAATGGTTTTGGGATTTTCTCTTCCCTGGTCGCTGTCACTGATCTATCAACAAACGAAAATCCGCATAAAACACAGACATTAGACCTGCAGTATATACGCTTACGGGTTTTTAATGACATGGTTTCTATTTGGTTATATCTTCGCAAGATGACATCCTTGAATACTGACAATAACGCTATTTTAGCAACTGTTTACTCATTGCGTGTATAAATCGGAAGCGATCGTGTGGAAAATAGCATTCAGAATCTTTCGAGTTTTTAAGGCAAAGGTTCAAACGATATGTGCGAATGTTAACTTTCGCGATTTGGTTAAGCTGTGTTCTGATTGGTCAGTCCAAAAGGTTAGCTGACGCGACCTTCTACTAGGTTTCGTTAGAATCAGTATAGCAGTGTAACGAAGTTTACTTAGACTGACTCTCTTCTCAATTTGCCAGACAAGGCCATTTGATTTGGAATCACAGCTAAATCCATTGACAAATCTGTTAGGCAATCCACACACAGCACCAGTGTATTCATTTCATTCACATTCTGCAGATCACAGATGAAAATATCAGGTGCCCCTGTGGACAATGACAATCGAAGGAAGAATGTAAGATCATTTCCAAGAACTGAAACAGTATTGATGATGACATGTCAAAACTTTTTAGTTAGGTCTAGACGTACAGTATTCCACTGTGTTGGTATTTCACTTCGTGTCCATGACGCTGTTACATTTGCACTTTACTGCAATATCCAGATCATCCAGTTACCATGACAACAGTCAACCTCCCTTAGGCCTAAAAAAAACCCAGTGTTGTGGTTCCGATTACCTGACCGACCCTTGAATTCTGGTGCCGACCCTATTTTGTTTATGAGGTATGAATAAAATAAGCTTTCAGATACCATTGTTTCTTTTTGGCACCAACGGACATCGGTCATTCTGATAGAGAAAGTCGACATGATGGCCGCAAAATTGATTGAATAAACAATTACACATTGATAAATGTGTTATTAGTTCGTACTTTACTTCAGAAAAAAAGGTAAAAAAAAATTTCCTTCCTACCTACCTACCCTAACATCTAAAGCGTTGTAATCAGAACCACAACATATCTTTTATTTGGCCTTATATAGTTCCTCTTTGAGGAGGGGCAGTGGGGTAGCCTAGTGGTTAAAGTGATCGCTCATCACGCCGAAGACCCGGGTTCGATTCCCCACATGGGTACAATGTGTGAAGCCCATTTTTGGTGTCCCCCTGTCATCATATTGCAGGAATATTAATAAAAGCAGCGTAAAACTAAATTCACTAACTCCTCTGTGAATATGTGGGTTAGAGTTTGTCTTCAGCAACCGCTGTTGCAGGAGTGAGTGAGTATAGTTTTACGCCAATAAGCAATATTCCAGTAATATCACGGCAGAGGTCACCAAAAATGGACTTTTACAAATAGAAACCATGTCGGGAATCGAACCCCAAGGCTTCCCCACCGCCCATGTTGTAGGAACTAGGCAAACAACAGGATAAGGTGGTCAGCCTCGCTGACAGGGTTGAAACATGTAAAGTATCCTGATGGTGAATAACGATGCTCATGACATCAATCATTGAATTGTTTGGTCCAGACTCAATTATTTACAGACCACAATCATACAAACAAACAGACAAGCAAACAAACAAACAAGCAAATACAAAATATACTGGCCACATAAAGAAACTGTGCACACAGAAAATATAAAGATAGGCAGACAGTGTCTTTATGCATAAATAAAGGTGTGAACATAGCAAGTATTGGAGACAATCAATCGCTCATGCAGGTGCCAGGCGACGTGACATCATTGATGGTGGCCTACGGACTTGCAATGTGTTACTGCACATGCAGCCTGTGCAGCTGCACACAACATGTGAAACTCAGAAATTTATGTCACTGTCGAAAGCTTGATCTTTGGTCATTCAAACGTTCACAAATTAACATGAAAAGCCACATGCACATCATGCCAAGATTAACATGTGCTCAACATCATGAAGCCATTGGAATGGTTCGAGCAGGCATGAGCCAACAACAGGTGGCAGCACATTTCCAATGCCATCGTAACACGATATCTGCATTGGTCAGCGTTAGGAAACAGTAATGGCGTCGCCCGACCACCCACGTTCTGAAGGCGACCGAGTAAGCGGCGCCAAGACAGGACAGATGGATTCGGGTGACTCATACCAGAGACAGGTTCCAGGCGGCAGTGACCACGTCCCAAACCATTCCCCAGGCCTTCATTTGGAAAATTTTGTAGCCTCTATGCGTCGTCGATGCACTGCTGTGCTTCACGCACATGATGGTCATACCCGTTATTGACTTTGTGACTTCGACGTGTGACCCCCGACTCAATTTTGAACTTCTGACGTCATTGTTACGGATATTGTTCATGTTCTTTTGACATGTTGTTGAGGCCCAATACTTCAGCTTATAAAGTGTCTACATCATGTCGTCTTTTCTGTGTTGTATTCCAATTCTGAAGGAATTTCTGTGTGCACAGTTTCTTTATGTGGCTAGTATATAATACAGCTTCATCACATCAGGAGTTTCCATCAAGATCCCACTTGCAGCATAAAGACACCTGCTGTATTCAGCCCATTATTCTCAAGTTGACTTTGCTTTGGCAGTTCATATTCAGCCAGTTTTGTAAGCTGTGATTTCATTGGGTGATTTTCAAATGTCAATCTGCCTGGGTCGCCAATGAGAACACATGTTCCAGCCTTCAGATAATGACTCAACCAATCACCGATGTAGCTTACAAACTCACTGTCATAGAACATATCACCAAGAATAATAACATCCCATTGGTTGCAGACTGAGCCAATCAGATTCCTGGAATCTACAGTAATGTCACAGAGGTTCACATCTGCATTCAGCTTGGCTGCCACTGTTGCAGCTGAAACAATAATATATACCATGTACCCTTGTAATAATGCCAACACTGTTAAAATGCCACCGTTTTTATAATGCCCCTAGTTATAATGCCAACATGGTAACAGTTGCCAATGTTTTTAATAATGTTTATATAATGCCCCTAGTTATAATGCCAACATGGTAACAGTTGCCAATGTTTTTATAATGCCCCTGGTTCTAATGCCCTAATGCGGGTGCTGCAATACATACAGACATGACTTATTTCCATAATGGATAAATACAAAATTGAAAATGAATCCCAAATAAATACTGAATTGTTTTTTCTGCTTAGTATTCAGGGATGAGAATGAAGTTTTGAGAAAAACTCTGAAAACTAGCCAAAGCTCCTGATATTTAGGCATTTTAGACCTTTAAAACTGGCTCAGAAATGACAATATCATGAACACAGCAACCATTAAAAACTTTAAATCTGCTGAAGCACATTGATACAATTGTCAACGGATTTAGACGATTCAAAAAAATTACCATTGGCCTTATGAAATTCCCAGAATTCCGTGGATCTGTGGAAAATTCACATCCCTAAGTATTGTAATCTGTGGACCCCAGAAGTTTGTTATACAAAGATATCTTAAGAGTTGTCTCCCATACTTCACATCATCAGCCTTTGCATGAAGACAGTTTAGTGGCCCTGCGCTGTTCATTGTTAACACTTGGGTTAATACAATGGCTCCTTGACTTTCACACTTAGTTTGAAACCTGCATATACCTGCTTTAGTGTGATCGGTCAGCACTGTCTTGACCCTCACGTACCTGCTTTAGTGTGATCGGTCAGCACTGTCTTGACCCTCCTGCGTACCAGCTTTAGTGTGATTGGTCAGCCCTGTTTTGACCCTCACGTACCTGCTTCAGTGTGATCGGTCAGCCCTGTCTTGACCCTCACGTACCTGCTTTAGTGTGATCGGTCAGCCCTGTCTTGACCCTCACGTACCTGCTTTAGTGTGATCGGTCAGCCCTGTCTTGACCCTCACGTACCAGCTTTAGTGTGATCGGTCAGCCCTGTCTTGACCCTCACGTACCTGCTTCAGTGTGATCGGTCAACACTGTCTTGACCTCGCGACTGGTACCAGCTTTAGTGTGATCGGTCAGCCCTGTCTTGACCCTCACGTACCTGCTTCAGTGTGATCGGTCAGCCCTGTCTTGACCCTCACAGTACCTGCTTCAGTGTGATCGGTCAGCCCTGTCTTGACCCTCACGTACCTGCTTCAGTGTGATCGGTCAGCCCTGTCTAGACCTTCCGCATACCTGCACTATTGTGATTGGTCAGCACTGTCTTGACCCTCACGTACCTGCATCAATGTCATTGGCCACCACAGCCTTGGCACCAGATTGAGCAGCAGCAATGGCTGAAGCCCCACATCCCGACCCAACATCCAGGACCATCCTCTGTCGGAACTTGTCACGGTTGTCCAGAATGTACCTGCAGGTAGCAGCCACATGACTTTCATTTAGCTAATTTACTACATTAAACCTGCTCACCAAAAATAATTTTTCCATTTTCATATCAAAATATCTTAAACAGCATTTCAGGGTTTTCAGGGTCTTCTTTGTAAACAGAATCTTAATCATGACTGACACTTTTTATGGACTCCATGAAAATAAGGAGACTCTAATTAGTAAGCTTGAACCAGACAATCTCTGAAATACAATTAAGAAAAAAGATTAACAAGAAATACGTCTGAAATAATCTCAGTTTTACAGAGGTAGCCCACTAAGATAACAGAATAACATGGATACTCCAATAAGAAAACAGAAACATTTCCAAACTGACCAGTCCTTGTTCTGTACCCCTAATGCTAAACAACAGGCAGGGAAACGACAAGTAACACCTTTTAGCATGACATGACACCTCTTGACATGACATGGCTGAATAGTGAAACTCTTATCTTCCGTTCTCCAGGCAAACACCTTTTCTACTCGACCACAGCAGCAGTCTTTAAACCCAGAGGAAATGTAAAACACTTACTCAAACAATCTTGTAGTTTGCTGATCTATAGCTCTATCCAGGGTTTTACACGACACGCATAAATATGCATCAAGTACTCCAGGGCTCGAAATACCCCATGTATTAGCGTGCCATGGCATGGTAAATATCGAAATGGCACGGATAAAAGTGTTGTCAGTGCCCTTAGGGCACACCTAATTTTTTAGAGACATAACACACCTTTAGTCACTTATAAACCAAAAACAAAACACTTATGCAAATGACAACCAAGCAAAAACATTTATTGACTTTATCACCCAGGAAATCACTGGAATTATGATGGTTCATGTAAAGAAATCTGGTTGTTTTTTCATTTAGAGTGTTGGGAGTACTGATAGTTCGGTTATTGAAGAGGAAATTGTGTATGTTAGATATATTGAAAAAAGTGAACCTCTCACACAATTCTTAGCTATTAAAGGTGTTGGGAAAGCAGAACAAATGAAACATAAGAAAGCCATCTTAAACAGAAGACATATCAGTGATAACAGAAAACTGGTTACATTTGTTGTTTTTTGGCAATAAATTTCAAAAGATCATCATCCTTGCTACAGTCATTTATTCTAAAAGCGTGGGCACACCTGATTTCTGAAAGGCACACCTAAAATATTTACCTGGTGCCCTAAGGCACACTTAGAAAACAAAGTATTTCTATCCCTGTACTCACAAATGTAGAGAATGGAAGTAGAAACAAAATTCACTGCATCCAAAGCAATATTATTCACTATACTCACAACACATCTATGACTTTGTTAAGTGTTTGGTAGTTTCTTCCAGAGCAGTTCCGTGCATCATTTCATCCATCAGTCCACATGATCAACGATTCATTCCAGGCTCTAAAGAAATTATCAAAACATAGAGTTCTCTACACTTTTACTTCATAGGACCCTGTTAATGCCTGCAAAGGACCCTTAAAACTAATAATTAGGGGTCCCTGAGACCCCCATGTTTGTGAGTCGAGGTAAAACACTGTCTATCCTAACCTTAACACACTCTCGAACAGACAAACACAGGACAGGAACTTTTAGAAACAAATACCTTGTCACTGCCTGGCCGCCTGGCCAGAAGAAGGCCCAGAAGGGGTCCACGAAGGGAGAGTTATCTCCCCTGCTGTGCCAGAGTTCACACTGTCTTGTCACTAGGTAGAGCTGTATCTCTGGTGTCAGGTGATCTCTAGTGAGCTCTGTATGTTTCATTATCTCAGCTCTCATGCTGCTTTGGAAGAGTAAAGATTGGCTGGCATTGTCACTGCACAGGGTTTTTGATTGGCTGTTGGAAACTCTTCCAGACTGGCTGTTGGAGATACATCCTGATTGGCTGTTGGCAACATTTCCTGATTGGCTGTTGGAGATACTTCCTGATTGGCTGTTGGAGACATTTCCTGACTTGTTGCTTGAGAACCTTTGTGATTGGCTGAAAGAGACACTTCCTGATTGGCATTTGGAGCCCTTTTTGGATTGGCTTTTGAGTTTTACTGTCTGGCTATTTGAGATATTGTATGAAAATATGGGGCTTATATGGCCAGTGTTTGCTGATGCTATAACATTTGTTAATTGGCTGTAGTGTGCACAAAGTCTTCGGATAACCATTGCTTCACCCTTATACCTGTGGAATAATGAACAATATTTAAATACAAAATTTAACAAAGGGTGAGTGAGTGAGTGTGGTTTTACTCTGATTTTAGCAATATTCCAGCAATATCATGTAGTGGTGTTCCGATTAATTGAAATAATCGAAGACTGGTCGAAGTGACCAAACGACCAAGCAATCGATCACATTTTCTCATAATCGAACACAAACGATTTTGGAACTGCTGTTTTAGTGTTTGAAACACTTGACGATGGAACATATCTTCGAAGTTGTCAGGGCCTGAAAACTTGTTTAATTCTTAGAAAACTCACTTCACTAACTGAAAAGTCATGACTGAATATTTCTTGAAGACTCCAGAAAGTTTATGTTCATGATATATTACTCATCACTTTAAAGTAGCAAGTTGCATCATGTTATACATATCAACCTTGGTGGGAAAATCGGAAAAATGACGCTAACCAATTTTTTTCGATGATTATTCGTTGATAATGAAGCAATCATCAATTGTGAGATTTCAACCAATTCCCAACACTAATATCATGGCAGGGACACCATATTGATACACCAAGCCACAACTCCAGTGGGAGACTGACTGACTGACTGAGTTTGGTTTTACCCCGCTTTTAGCAATTTTCCAGCAACATCACGGCGGGGAACACCAGAAATGGGCTTCACACATTGCACCCTTATGGGGATTCGAACCCGGGTCTTCGGCGTGACGAGCGAACGCTTTAACCACTAGGCTACCCCACCGCCCCTCAAGTGGGAGAAGCTCTCGTATAATGACTTTTGTTTTGTAGCTGTGGGAACTTATCAACAACGACACTGCTTTTCACAGCGCTTCACAGCTCAGCGAGCCTAATACAAATCAAATCAATGATAATATTGGTAATGTTGGCCTGTAGTGTTGTCCCCGGAACTGAATCAGTCACCGGGAGCGCCTGTATGATATATATGACTATTATTATGAGCCTTCGGCTTTGAAAAGCCGGTTGAGAAGTCCAAACATGAGCGTGAGATCGCTTGCCATTTTCAGCTGATCTTTGGTCGGAGATTAACTGTTATGTTTAATCTCTACATATCTCAACCATTCGTACCAGAACGTGATTGACCCAAGTACATATTGCTGACCTATATCACGTGACTTCCTTGTTTGCGGGAGGATAGGCTTGATAAACATCCGAATGAGATCTACGGTTTTTCTGTTTGAAACTCGCCTGTCGGAATGTCGGCCGGTGTATATGATGATTAGTTCCCTGTGTTATTATGTTCATTTTCAGCCGGACATAGTCAAGGTGACCTCATGTTATGGCCCTTCTTTCGGTTGCTGGCAAAACGGACCCCGTAAAGAGACAATGAATAGGATGGAAATTTAAGATTTTGTGTAAACCACTATATATTTACATAAACTATATACACAGCCGTTTAGTCAGCTCTCAAAGAATACTTCTACGTGGTTGTATTTTTTATATTAGATTATTTTCTTTAAAACTTTCAAAATTTATCTTTGACATCTTAACTTTGAAAAAGAAAGAAGATTTGCTTATTTTAAACAAAATGTAACAATGTTTCAAACATATTATTGATTACATGTTTGAACATTTATTTCTAAATCCAGTCTTCAGTGAACCAATTTGTTTTTGCACAATACGTGAACTACTCAGCCACAGAGTACCTTTCATAGACGAATAAGTGGCATTTAAATACACACAACAAAATGACTTTCGGTTTTCAGTGGCATAGAAATCCAACTTCGTTTATTCTTCCTTGCCCTTGGATATTGTACTATTATATTTGAACATTATTTTTATATAGACAGGGAAAAGTTATTGAGGACATGGGACAAAACGTCAAGCCGGACGTCTTTGCGCGAAATTCATTGCATAAATGCAATTACCGCGGGTCGTGCATTAGAACCAGGAGTCATATTGTTTTCTGTAGCCCTACGAACTTCTTAAGCCGATTCTTAACACGCTGACTACGATCAAAGTTAATAATTCCTAGGGCTACGAACGTTTCGAGAATAAGGGCCCATATTGTTTTCTCTTGAGTAAACAGATTAATTATAGTCCATGTATTGAATATCTCCTTACTTATCGGATAGGCACATATTCCGTGCGTAACCGACAGCTTGTTCATCCAGTTAATCGTATTATAGTGTAACGAAAACTGACCAGTGTTACAAAATATGGATAGTGTTGTATACCATAACGAAATTGACATACTGTGTTTTTAATGCAGGTTCAGTTTACCAGTATATTTAACCCCGCTAAATTGAAATTGGAACCGTACGCGATTTGAAACCTCTGATTGACCAATCTGAAACGGGATATATAAAATGCCAGTGAAAAGTGAGTGAATGAGTACTGTTTTACGCCGTTTTTAGCAATATTCCATCAATATCACAGCAGGGGACACCAGAGATGGGTTTCACACATTGTACCCATGTGGGGAATCGAACCCAGGTCTGTGGAGTGATGAGCGAACGCTTTAACCACTAGGCTACCCACCGCCCCTCCAGTGAAAAGAATATACACTCACCCGTGTTTAACGGTAACTGATAGGGACAAAACCAGAAATGTCTGCTTCATGTGGTTGTATTTGGTAATCGACATTACAAGCATCTCGTGAATTAGACTAACATCTAGTCTCCAAAATGAACATACTTTACAGAAAAAGGTTTCTAATTTATGTTAATAAAATGTAATAACTTTCTTTATTTTCAGCCGCCGTAAAGTGTGTTGGAATAATGCTAAAAGCGGCGTAAAAACATATTCACTCACTCACTCTTTATTTTCAGAACTGTGGTAATCTAGACTTGCCACAAATTCTAGACTTGCATGGGCTGTAATGGGTTATTTGTTTCAGCATCTGTATGACAGACTACCAGCACAACGAGCATTTTACAGCAGGAGACGTGCATATTGCATTGCAAGAACTCTGGGTTCAACAGTTCACAGTAAATGGTAGATGCTTTCATTTGCTCAGCTGTTAATATAATAATAGCTGTTAATAATATTAGAACCAACATTTGTAAATAGAATACATGTTTAGACAAAGTTCTTCTGTTCACACTAACACATTCATTTTAAAAATAAAATCATATCTTCCCTCAAAAGATTAATTGTTGCTATTTTTTGTTTAGCTTGGTTAAACGCCGCGCACAGCATTATTGCAGCTTTATGATGTCAGTCTGTAAATGATCTTGTCTGGACCAGACATTCAGGTGATTGACATCACGAGCATCGATTCATGCATGTGGGATAAAATGGCATGCAGGAAATAGAGCGCCACATACTCCAGAATATCAAGGGTAGTTCCCCAAAGACAGTTAAAAAGTGCCACATACTTCAGAGGTTCAAACGTATCTCCCTTGAAACAGGTAAAAGAGTGCCACGAGCTTCAGAATATCAAAATTATCTACCTGAAGATAGGTAACAGAGTTCCTCATACTTCAGAATTTCAAAGGTATCTCCCTTAAAACAGGTAAAAATAGCGCCCTGTACTCAAGAATAACAAAAGTATCTCCCTCAAGATAGGCAATAGGGAGTCCTGTCCTTAAGACAGGTAAAAGAGTGCCACATTCTTTAGAATATCCAAAGTATCTCATGGACAAAAAAGAAAAGAAAAAGTATCTCCCTCAAAACATGTAATAAATCTGCGGTCACCTCGAATAGCAATCAGCGTGTACCGTTATGGGTGAGTGAGTTTAGTTTTACGCCGCACTCAGCAATATTCCAACTATATGGCGGTGGTCTGTAAGTAATCGAGTCTGGACCAGACAATCCAAGGATCAACAGCATGAGCATCGATCTACGCAATTTGGATAGGATGACATGTGTCAGCCAAGTCATGAGTCTGACCACCCAACCCCGTTAGTCGCCTCTTGCGACAAGCATGGGTTACTGAAGATCAATTCTAACCCGGTGTAGCAGCCCAGAATAACCCCCACCAGATTATACCCCGGGTTAAACTATAGGCTAGCCCGTTTGTTCAACCCTATCCCCCAAAATGCTCGAAGGAATTTGGCTGCTGCATTAGGCCTGAACTCTTCAAAGGACATTTATTACGGAAGATCAACAGACTTGACAGCACCCCGACGGACATACAGAACCAAAGGCGACGGCAACTGCTACTTCCGCTGCATCAGTTACAGCCTGACAGGATCCGAAGACAGTCACAGCACTATCCGAGATCGAGTGGTTCAGCATATGAACAATGACATTAACGATGAACTAAAACATTTCCTGAACCAAAATGTCAGAGTACATCACTAATTGGGGAATTTCACGAGATGGAGTGTGGGCAACAGATGCAGAAGTTATGTCAACAGCCAGTCTGTTAAAATGTGACATTTATATTTACAGTGCAGTTGGTCAGTCAATGCAATGGCTGATGTACCCTGCCAGCTTCAGCTTGAAAACTCACACTGATTATGCTTTGTATCTGGAAAATGTATCGGACCATTTCAATGTTGTAACCAGTGTTTAATTGAGTGAGAAGTACAATAAAATTATAGTAGTATCCTTAATCACTTGTTTTCTGTAGGGGTATAATCTGGGCTAGGGGGTATACTATGGCCTAGTTCAGAATATACCCCGGGGTATAAACTAGGCTAGCCCAGATTATACCTGGGGTATAGTCTGGGCTAGCCCAGTTTAACCCCGGATATAGTCTGGGACAGGGGTATACTCTGGCCTGTTACACCGGATCTTCACGAGTCGTGATTCGCTGTGTAGTGTAACTGACCTTAGCGGTGACAGGGACAGCTTGCATGCACAAACAGATCCCTCACTAACAACCTCAAAATCAGAAATCGCCAAGAAGCTATCCACATAAAAATTAAGACTCCAACCATCAATCGACCGTGACCAAGGCTATCACAAACTCCCAAATTACCATCAGCTCATCAAAGACTTCAATCAAACATAATCCTTCTGCGTTTTTACACAATTGGCTTCATTTGCAGGGGGCGGTGGGGTAGCCTAATGGTTAAAGCGTCCGCTCGTCACGCCGAAGACCCGGGTTCGATTCCCCACAGGGGTACAATGTGTGAAGCCCATTTCGGGTGTCCACTGCCGTGATGTTGCTGGAATATTGCTAAAAGCGGCGTAAAACTAAACTCACTCGCGTCAGTTGCAGGGACCTGATAAACATTTTTATAATCTTCTGCACTGTATTCTTAATAGGCTTCCGTGCTCTATTGTATAAAATACCACTTCATATCTATACATTTACCTCCCTACACTACATTGTACATCATATGCTTGATAACGGCGTTAGATTCTACACCGTCGCTTCTCGTAAATAAAGAAGTTGTTCATCCATAAATCTTATCCTTCCAGTTACGTCATCTTAATTCTCGCGGATCCTTTGTATCTTTTCGTTCTTACAATGCCTTTCCTAGCTCTGAGTGAAAATTAATGTTTTCATGTGTACCATAATCCACTTTAGACATGCGAGTTTTTCTGTATGGCTGTACTGTTATTATCAACAAATGCTGTAACTTCCGCGACGTGTCACAGTCGCATTGATGTTTATTGTGCTGAAGTGGGTGAAAGTATCCGGGGCATTGTTACCGGTGCTACAAGTCACATGATCAAAATATGTCAAGATGGCGACCACTGGCGAAATCCAGAAAAGTTTGTGGCACGCATTCAATGCTTTAGATGCCCAGCAAACAGGGATAGTACAAAAATCACGTCTAAAGGTTTGATGTTTTTAATTTGTTTTTATTTAGATTCTCTTGGCGTCGATTTTGAGAAAGTTTAGTCGTGTTTACGTTACTCATCGTTCCGTGGGGGCCCACTTGGGGTTGGACAATGTTTCCACACGCCGAAGAGAATGAAAGTTGATGTACGTTTCAGTGATATAACGAGCTTGTGTTGTATTTATTGATGTTGTTTGTAATTGATGAATTAGGTCTTGTGTAAATACACGAACGAAATTAATAGTTATAAACAGTTGATGTAGTGACAAGCAACAGGCGAGGCCACGTTCATTGTACTTTGCAACATTGCTATTGTGCATTACACATGACCCAGTTTGTAGGTGATAACATCCAAAAAAAACCGTGGTAACTTTTAAACTGTACTTCTGACCCTGTGACTAAAGCTTAGTGAGTAGGCACACTACCATTGCCAAGTAATTAATCTACTAACAGAAACTCCAGTTTAAGGTATGGGAACAGCTGCGAAAGAACCTGTAAACAACTCTCAGCCCTATAGTTAGGTTGTACTTGTAGTCACTCTTGATTGCAAAAGGTTTGCAAATCAATATTTAAAAATTGTGAAATGAAACAGACCAGATGTTGTTATCTATAAAGTGGTATCTTTTCTTAAGTTTATGAGAATATGTAATTAAATTGCTGACTTTGTTTTGTCAAGTTTTAAAGGCACAATGTCACATATCACACTTGCACAATGCATTCTCTCAATAATACTATCAGCCCTTCAGGGATAATAATTTATTCCAAATAAAATAACGCAATTAGATTACAATTAATATGTAATTAAAAAGTTCGAATAAGTTAATGCAAAATTGCATTAAATCGACTCTCAACTTTTCGAGCGAACCCTATAGAGTTATGTCCCTTGGAGGACTCTTTACGAATATTCTATAATGCAACTTGTGATTGAGACCAGTTCGGCAAATACCGACAACACTGAATGCCACAGTTTTCTATGTGCTGAGCAAACGTATACATTCCATATGTGGCAAGTGTTATCTGTTTGGAAGCTATTCGCTTCGAATTCGAAGTTTCAATTTTCGATTTTACTTTTTTTAGGCAAGTCGTAAGGGATAATAACTGTTTGCTATGGCATCAATAGGAAGCTAAAGTGAGTGCATATGCCCTCAATGTATTAAATATATAGGCCGAAATATTGTCAAAAATGTGTGACATTGTGCCTTTGAGCGTGTCATGTCTTATTTTTGTTTAATAGGCATATATAATAATGTTGTAACTTTATTCAACATGTTTGAGTCAACACTTCGACTCAATCAAAAGCAGTTCCCTGAAAGAACATATTAAGCTGAACTATTTAAAAAAGCTCAACTCAATGGCATAAAAATCATAGTGGACCAAGTGAAAAAATACATTGAAGAAGTAAGTGTATCAATACCAAATGTGATTGATAACTTGTGAGTAAATATTCAATATCTCAAGGAAAGTATTTGGAGGTCTGAAAGAGTGTTTTTCCAGTGTGAAAACCCAGTGTAGCAGGTTGAAACATGCACACAATTCTCTTTTTATTACCTCTCTGTGTTGATAAGATTGCCCTCATTGAAGTGCTATCAGGTATTTGTATGTCAAATTTTATTGAAGTTACATGGTTCTATACGTTAAGTGAGTTTAGTTTTACACCGCTTTTAGCAATATTCCAGCAATATCACGGCAGGGGACACCAGAAATGGGATTCACAGTGATTCACACATTGTGCCTATGTGGGGAATCGAACCTGGATATTCGTTGTGACGAGCGAATACCTTGACTACTTGGCTACCCCTCCGCCCCGGTTCTATACAAAAGAAGGAAATAAGCTTTTAGGGGTATGCAGTGTTCACGAATCGCATCTGACCCTCTGACAAATCTGGCAGATTTGCCAACAGTCCGACAGAAGTCTACAACCCGCCAGCCCCAGTGTCTGACTGTATATTTCACAATGACTTTGACTGAAGTTGTTTTATGTGACATGTGTCACTTGTTTGCTGTTTATAAATCTTATGTTTGTTTATAATTTCAATGCCAATTATAAGAAATGTTAAATCTGAAATGTGTGTTTAATTTTATTCTATGGGTCCTGTGAATTTTCAATGGGTCAGACAGACATCTGAAACTTCCAGGACCCAATGTCCTGTTACTTTAAAACACCATTCGTGAACACTGGGTATGATGACTGTTTTTCAAAATAAATGGGTTTTATTTTACTCCGAGGTGGGGTTGCGGGTCTCGAGTGAGTGAGTTAAAATTTACGTCACATCAGCAATGTTTCAGCCTCAACGTGACATGGATCTCAAGCAGCCGATTCAGGTGAACAAGGGAAGACCTGGTTGATGATGTATGTCATTGCTCATCATATTGACCACTGGTTTGTCTGGTGCAGTCTCAATCCCAGGGACAATCATGCTTATAAGAATATCGCACGACTGTGCAGATCGATGCTCATGCTGTTGTTCACTGGATTGTCTGGTCCAGACTCGATAAGTTACAGACCGCTGTCATATAGCTGGAATATTGCTGAGTGTGGCGTAAAACAACAACAAACAATCCAAGGGTTTGAGTGAGTTTAGTTTTACGCCGAGCTCAGCAGTATTCCAACTATGAGGGGTCTGTAAATAATATAGTCTGGACCAGACAATCCAGTGATCAACATCATGAGCATCGATCTATGCAATTGGTCCAAGACTATCGCAGGAATATAGTAACTTGGCATGGTTTACTTACACTTCCAATGAAACCAAAACTTTCGTCATGTCCAGTCACCTCTGTAACAACCAGGATGAAGTTGATTATCTCAGTGGAAGCAAACTGTGTCTGAAAGGATGCTTAAGATTAAACAAGCAGATTATCAAGGTTGCCTGATAACTTTGTTATGTGAGAGATTACATGGCTTTTGGAGCTCTTGTGTGGGATGGAGTAATCTGGGATTTCAAAGTAAGTGCATCTGGAAGGCAGTTTCCGGAAAGAAATATTTATGATCATAAGTGGGATCTTTTGCCAAGTTATTTTTGTCTTAAATCCATAAGTGGTTTAACATTATAGTTTTGGATTGCATTCAGTGCATTAATATACAATGAAGCATAAGAATCTATTTATTTTTCTAGGATTCTTAACTAAATGATTGTGCTTTAGTGGACCTGTCTACACAAACATTTAGGGGCGGTGGGGTAGCCTAGTGGTTAAAGCGTTGGCTCGTCACGCCGAAGACCCGGGTTCGAATCCCCACATGGGTACATTGTGTGAAGCCCATTTCTGGTGTCCCCCGCCGTGATGTTGCTGGAATATTGCTAAAAGCGGCGTAAAACCAAACTCACTCACTCACTCACTCACAAACATTTAGGGAAAGAAAAAAAATCATATTTTTGCAATAATTATATATATTACATTATGTCTACCAAATAATCATATACCTTTTCCTCTGTAATATTCTCTTTATCTGTGTGAAACAGGCTATCTCCACAAAGACTTTTTGCAATTAATTATGTGTTATCATTTGATTTGGGAATTTTTAAATTCCTGTTTGGGAATTTTTTATGACATTTGCTGCGGACTTGTAAATGAGTATTGACCTCTGAGTAGGTCTAGATTGTTGGTGTAATTAAAAGCATGGTGACAGAAATCTTCATTAAGAGTAGTGTCCCTTTGACATACCAGGAGCCAATGCTCATGGGTTTGAAACACTGATTCTCTGTGATCACATTTAAAGGTCTGTCAGCATGCCACTCCTCATAGGGTTTAACCGAAGTGTTAAGAATGTCATATATGCTGCTCCAGGACTCCAGATAATTTTTCTACATCAGGAGTACATACTCTTTATTTGTTCAATATAGGAGTACTGGAAAACCTTAAGTGTACATTTTAGAGTACTGAATGGAAATTAGTGGAGTATGAGTAATCTTGTGGTTCATTTCATATATGCACCACAACATTGTTTCTCTTGTGTAAACAGGTCAATGAACAATAAAACAATACTTTATCAGACGAATACGCCTGTAAATGATTCTAAGACCGAACACCATTGCTGTGGTGCGTATCTGCTACGTTTTCTAAACTAGTTCCTACCGTGTCGTGCATATTTTTGGTTCGTACATACGCTGATACGGCCCTTACCTGGTGCCCTGCTGCTCTTCTGATATGATATTTTCCTGCAAACTGATATGATGTGATATTACTGAAATGGTGATTAAAGAGGCATCAGACCAACTCACTCACACACCAGACTTACAAGGGTCTCTATGCTGTGTTTTCATTGCTTTTAATGCAGTACATTTGAAATGTATAAAACGTAAACTCTAAAAGAAGCCCTGTCTATAACACATTGCAATTACTTTTTGTGCAGGTAAGGAAATCTTATTTGAGTGGCATTTTAGAACTTGGGACATTGACAAACTTTATGGATAACAACTTCTTTTATTTTCTGAGCGCAACGTTTCGAACAGACTCTTCCTGTTTGACCGTGGTACAAGGATCTGTATTAATACGTCACACTCAAAAACTAGAAGTTGTTATCAATGAAGTTTGTCGATATTGTTAGGGGATCTGTTAAAGAGAATAAGGCTTTAATTCTACTTTCATTATTTTTAGTGCAGTGTTAAAAAGTGTTAAGGGGCGGTGGGGTAGCCTAGTGGTTAAAGCGTTGACTCGTCACGCCAAAGACCCGGGTTCGAATCCCCACATGGGTACAATGTATGAAGCCCATTTCTGGTGTCCCCCGCCGTGATGTTGCTGGAATATTGCTAAAAGCAGCATAAAACCAAAACTCAGTCAGTCAGTCAGTAAAAAGTGTTAAAGTATGAGTGAAATTAAGAAAATATGAACTCTAAAAAATCCTAATTTAACCAAATTACAATTTCGTTGCTTTGATTATGCATGATATGACCTGATTTTTTATCAAGAGTTAAACCAGTGTTCCTTCACCTTTGACTTTGGATGAACTATTGACAGTGACAGAACTTTTTTGTTTCCTTTATCAGTTTTCCTTGATGATA